ACTTATTTTTGGTACTTTCGTCATTCAAGAAAGGTTTTGAAGCTTATTTGTGATGAGAAACTGGTTTTGTGAAATGCAGTAAACCTAACTTTTTTTTAAAGGTGACAAAAAATGTTGCCAATGAAAAAAAACAAAAAACACAAAAAAAAAACAATCTATCTGAATGGAATCTATAAACTACATGCACACTGACAAGCAATTTAGCATATTTTAAGTGTTCAATGTGAAAAGGGGGTTCTGTCTTTATTAGAGCTATCATAAATTTTATTATGCTACATACTTGTAGAGCACAATATACATTGTTAGCTGATATCTTTAGGTTGACATTTCAAAGTGTCTTATATTAAGAAGTTTTCAACTTTACTTTTCTGTTCAAAGTAAGCAGCGTCTCATATACCCAAGCTTATATACCGCTTGGTATTGCAGATCGCTTGCTTCTGGTCGCTGACCGAGCACAACCACTCCAACGACGCAAATGGTACTAAGGTGACAAAGTTACTACAGACCCGAAAAGAAAGCACAAGGAACGTCAGAACCTCCAAGCTCTTGTCTCAAGCACTAAGTAACTCGTTGACAGCTGTGTGCGAGAACATCGGGAACCTGGAGACGGTATGTTGTGACCTGCGCAAGCAAAGAAACCGGCTGCGCCCAAGGAAGCCACACTCCACCACAGAGCTCCAGGTCACAGACATCTGGGCAACAACCAGAGGGGAACTACCACAACAGTTCGTCATCTAAGATAATAGACCTGAGCGGCGGGACCTCATTCTCGTTTTTGCCAGAACTCAACAGCTGAGAGCCTTGTGCACCAGCCGAACCTGGTACATGGATGGTATGTTTTCGGTATGTCCTCGACTTTTTAAACAACTTTACGTGCCGAGGTGCATAGTCGGCGAAAGCTCTGTTGCCTGTGCCTATGCTCTCCTTCCTGGTACGAGCCTTGCAACCTACGAAGAGCTGTCCCAGGCAATCCTTGAGGCTTGTGAAGCGAAGGAATACATCCCAGATCCGAGCACCATGAGTAGCGACTAAGCAATTGCTGCCATCAAGGGTGCAAAAGAAGTCTTCGCGCAGAACATTGCACCCAGGGGATGCTTCTTCCATCTCCGCCAGAGCACTATCGCAAGGTAATTGTGCTTCAAACATGCTCATTCGAGTAGACAATAAGCAAGTAACTTTCTTGCAATAAAGTCAGCTATTGATATATACTCATTTTGAAAAAAGAAAAACAGGTAAAAAAATGAAAGCCGCTTACAACTCCCTGTAACGCCGAATTAAAGCGCAGCTCTTGAGGAGGAGGAGGGAAGGGCACGGGGGGGGGGGGTAAACTAACCAGGGGGGGGTCACGTGACCTTGGGGGTCACGTGACCCCCAATGCCGATGATGTCATCACTGACGTCACTGATGACGTCATCCGTGACGATGACGATGCGGGTACCGATGACGTCATTAGTGACGTCACTGATGGCTTCACCAGTGATGATGACGATGACGATGCGAATGTCGGTGACGTCATCAGTGATGATGACGATGACGATGCGGATGCCGGTGACGACATCAGTGACGTCACTGATGACGTCATCAGTGATGATGACGATGACGATGCGGATGCCGGTGACGTCGTCAGTGATGATGACGATGACGATGTGGATGCCGGGTGACGTCATCAGTGATGATGACGATAACGATGTGGATGCCGGTTGACGTCATCAGTGATGATGACGATGACGATGGGGATGCCGGTGATGTCATCAGTGATGATGACGATGACGATGTGGATGCCGGTGACGTCATCAGTAATGATGACGATGACGATGCGGATGCCGGTGACGTCATCAGTGATGATGACGATGACGATGTGGATGCCGGTGACGTCATCAGTGATGATGACGATGACGATGTGGATGCCGGTGACGTCATCAGTGATGATGACGATGTGGATGCCGGTGACGTCATCAGTGACGATGACGTCATCGGGGGGTCACGTGACCCTCGGGGGGGTCACGTGACCTCGGGGGGGTCACGTGACCTCGAGGAGGGGGTCACGTGACCTTGAGGAGGGGTCACGTGACCTCAGGGGAGTCACGTGACCTCGGGGGGGTCACGTGACCCCCCACGAGGTCACGTGACCCCGGTGGGGGGGCTCGCGCGGTGCATTATGGGACATTTCCCATGATGCACCGCGCGGTTACGCCGACGGCGACGGCGACGCCGCTCAAGCCGGAAACGGGCCCCTAAGAGCTGCGCTCTAAAAAGTTAATAAGTAAAAGATGGGCGTCTGACTTACCATTAAAAGTTTATTGTGATGTTTCAAATGCTATGTTAACCCTCGCTCTTTCTTTCTTATGTGTTTTTGCATTATAATGTTCTGTACAGCGGCATAGACTTTCCATTTTCCTGGGGGGGGGGGGGGGGGGGGGGGGGCAGGCTTAGAAGTTCTCCAGGGGGGGGGGGGGGGGTGCTGCTGCACGTTACTTTTTCGCCAGAACTGGAGATTGAAGTTAACAAAAGCACGCTGGGATTCCATTTCCCATGTATTTTGTCAATAAAGGCAACGTGGGCGTTATTTTGTTTACATGCCACTACTAGAAGCTCGTTACATGGCACTTAAGCAGCGTCTCGGTAAGGATCATGGCCCGGGCCCGGGCCCGGGGGGGGGGGGGGGGGGGGGGGGAGGCACGAGCCCTGATGCCCCCCTGAAGTCTACGCCTATGGTTCTGTACTAGTTGGGTTCTAAGTTCGCACTGTTCTTCGTATAGGTATGGGAGTTGGGGCTCATCACCAAGTACTGGACAGACGATGTCTTCCGGAAGTTTTGTGGCATGCTTGATGAGCTTGCCTTTCTACCTCCCGACCTCATGCCAACCGGACTCGAGTACATTTGGAACCACGCTCCTGACGACATGGACAATCTCCCGACGTCCTTTGAAGCGACGTACGTGAGTGGAACCTTTCGCACTGTTCAGACTGTGGAAGCAGCTGGGCAACTGCCAACAACCGTGCGCCACCGGCACTTCGAGTTCCCTCCGGAGCTCTGGAATGTAATGGAGGCTATGCTACAAGGCGAGGACCACAACGACAACACGTGCGAGGGGTGGAACAATACGTTTAAGCTCCTTGTTGGGCATTGCCATCCCAGTGTTTGGAGGCTTCTCGAGTGCCTCCAGCAAGACCAAGCAGTGGTTGCTACAACATTGCTGCAAGTCAAGTCGAGGAGAGCCACCTGCCAAGAAAACAAGGAGGGATACCAACCGCCTGCAGAGCCTACTGCGAAACGTCTGCAATGACTATCTGCAGCATAAGCAGCTTACTGTGCTTCTTGAAGCTGATTGTAACTGCATTCGCTTTTGAGGCGTAATAAAAAAGATTGTAGTCAAAAGTGCGGTGAGCTTTTCTCTGGGTTGGTCAAAGGTGCGGTGAGCTTTTCTCCGCATCTGACAGTTTTGCAGCAAGCTTTTCCCCGCCGCCCCAGGGGGACATGGGCTGGTCGTCTTTTGAGAGCAGGGAGGCAATTAGTAAGGTGAAATTTGAACAAAAGTTGACCGAAATGTATGATACGCCGTGGGCACGGAAGGTATATTCAAGTATTTATACATGAAAAGTTAAACACAAGTGGAAAAACTTAACCCGAAAGCTTACATTTAAATACCTACACACTAGTGATGGAGCTAAGCAGACTACTTCAGTGGAAAAGGAAGTGGAAGAGGCAGAAAGAAAAATGTGGGAGGTAAGAATGCAGGAAAAATCAGTTCTTACAATGTACAGGTCACAAAAACAGAACATAAGTGAGGAAAATGTGTTTGACAATTCACTGGGAAGTGCTTTGCTGTTTGAGGCGATAACGGGAGTTTTGAGGACAAGGACGTATAGGGCTCAATTTCAGGAGACAGACACACTATGCACTGCCTGCCATAGTGAGAGTGAGACACTAGAGCACTTGGTTTTAAAGTGCACAGTGCTTTGCCCTGCCCTCCCTGAAGGGGTATTAGATTTGGCCGGGGCCCTGGGTTTTGCTGTTGACGTTGGAAGGATGGAAGAGAAAAGGATCACAATAACAAAAAGGCGATTAGAAGATTGGTGGAAATTATTTAGGAAAAACTGAGTGATGCACAACTAACAAGCACAGCCGGGGACAGGCGGGGCGGAGGGAAATTGGGATTCCCTCTCACGTGGCTCCGGCCCAAAGTCTCAACCCTGCCCCCAGCGAGTACGGTGCTTGGGTAACGCCGACAAGGTTTGACCAGAGGAAAATTGACGACTCTTTCGCCAGGGAAAAGAGACGTGGTGCGATGCTTTTAGGTTTTTACACGATCCCCCAAAGGTCATATTGGTGATATCTCACGCTGCGTGGTGATAGTCAGGGGGAGAAAATCGCTCTAGAAAGGCGGGAGGAATCATATGGTTGTCTTTTCAGACTTAGGCTAGGTGGCACAAGCTGCTGCCCGTTACAAAGGGTCGAGCCATTAATTAACATCCATCCATTTATCCATCCAATCATCGCCCTTTTTTGCTTGTTTTTTACTTCTCTGGGCAAGCGTAATGGGCGACGTCAGCAATGTTTTTTTAGCGGTGTCCACGTGATTGGTGTAACGTGCCTGCACAGCGTGCTCCTTGGGAGCCGTAAGGCTGCCCCGCCGTGGTCTCGCCGTTACCGCTGTCTCCTGTGTCACAACCGCTGTCGTCTTCTCACCCTTTCTGATTATTGTCTCTCAGAGTTTCGTCCACACTACAGACACAACGTGTGCAAGCTTATGCCACAGTTGTGCAAACGTCGTCGAATGTCGTAGACACCAAAACGTGAAGAGTGCAACGCAGACGACACTTGCGCCTGGCACACGCCCGCCCCAATCCCGCCGTCGTTGCATAGAGGATCATGCGACATCTCATACCAGATGATAGCCATGTTCTTGGTGGCCCGAGGTCAATGTTGCTGGACGAAGCCAAAGTTTCGATTTCTGCTCGTGTTTAAAATTAGATTTAAAAATATATACCCCATTTTCTGAGAAGCAAATGACATAGTGTCTTTTACTAGGGCTTTTTATTGCGAATTCAACCATTATCCCAAAATCTTCTAAATTGAGACAAGTTGCCCTTTCACAAACAAACAAAAAAACCTTGCAGCAAAAAACCTTTGAGCCGTGAGCTACATCAGTAAGGCTCCTTTCATCATTCCCACGGTAAGAGGGTTTCGCTGTCAGGCTCGGAATCAGCTAGGGAGACATCTTGGCCCTTTTCTATTGCATACCTCAGCTGTTTGATCACGTCCAGATACCTCTCATACTTTGTCATCGCAAGTCCGGCTATCCTAGCCGACACCTGCAAGAGCAGCGTGCTCACTTCTCGGTATTTCTGCACTTGAGATAGGGTTCTTTGTCCCATGACCGAGATGTCGCACATCTCCACAGATGCAAAGACTTCATCGCTGTCTGTGAAAAGCCGGCAGGCTCGTTGGTAGTAGTCTCTTGTCCAGCGAGCAGCGATGCCTTTGGGGAAGAACAGGGGAAAGCTGTTCTGTTTTCTCAGGAAGAAGATGTGTCTGCAGGGCAACTGGACTGACCTTGCAAAGCGACACGTGCAGGACTCACACGACGCCGTCGGATCTTCAACGGTCGTCATGGTCTTTGCGGCATTGAGCTGCTGAGATACCCCCTTGAAGGCGTAGGGCGTGAGCAGCTTGCAAAAGTTGAGTTCGTCATCCGTGCTGTTTGGAACGGTACACGTCTTCATGAGTACCGCAGTCGCCCGCTGGTCCCGCTCGATGCGGAGGCCCATCGTGACAACCATCAGGTCTTCAAAGAGCTGCGGCAACGACTCGTACCGGAGCACCGCCATAGTGATCTTCTGGTTGACAGACTCCACCCTGTTGGTAGTCCGGTTGCCCAGCCTGGTCGTCTGCTGGAGTCCCTGCACCCACTCGGCGCGGACGTCGTGCCAGTTAGACAGGAAGTAGTCCAGCACCTTTGGGCACAGTGTCGCCTCCAGGGCCTCCAGCTTCTTGCCGTAGTCCTCCTCACCGTCCGCGAAGCACATGGACCGAAGGATTTTCAGCAGGTGGGTCCTCTGCTGGGAGCTGATGCCCATCTTGTCCATGGTCACGTCCCTCTTGAAACTGTGGAGCACGTAGAATGGGCAGATGATCTGCTCGGCATTGGGGAAGATCTCTCCCAGAACCTTCCTCAAGATGCAGTCCCTGTCCGTCACAATGGTCTGTGTCTTGTCCGTCTGGTCGCAGTGGACCCGGAGACGCTGGAACACGGCCCTGACGGTTTCTTCATCCTCCTCCGCGCAGAGCAAGAGTGCTACGACCTGCACTTCTCCGTTGGAATCTTCCGTGGCCACCACGTGCAGAGGCGTCCTCCTCTCGCCGGTCCTCCGGACAGCATCCACGAACAGTACTTCGGCATAGCTCGCGAAAGTACTTTTCATCTCTTCGTCCTGGTAGAAGACCCCTACTACCGCATTGTCCATCGTGACTAGGATTTCCATGGTGCCTCCGGTGCTTCGTACCTGTGTCGCGATAGCATCAAGGGCGAGGCCCTGCAACTGCTCTAGTGTCATTGCTGTCTTCGTGTTGTGGTTGCTCAAGCGGAGTATGTTCCCGGCGCCATCCACAGTCTTGTTGGCCATGAGAGCAAGCACTCTTCGAGCTTCCCGACGCGGGTCGCCGGCCAGTCGCCGCTGCTTCGGGAACTGCCTGTAGCAAGCCTGAAAATCGTTACTGGTTTATTAGGTTGGCGCTCATTTTCTCGAATGAAGACTAAGCCGCAACACTGATAGAACTATGTATACTATAGCAGGCGACAGGTTAAGGATGCAGTGTATGCCCTGACTCCAGCATGAGCATTCTGCCTTTGATAACAACTTGCTGCACGTGTAACCAAAGCCTGGTAAAAGGTTACAATTGCGTGCTGGAGGCGAAGCTTCAACTGCATTCTTAAAGGGGAGGTGCAAAAATTTTTATGCTTTGCATAAATACCACTTAGAATGAATCCCTGATATTTATAACTCATAAAACATGCATTAGCATTTCTCCTCGTGCAATGGTAGTCACAAAAAAATAAATAAAAATGAACTGGCAATGTTTTTATCTTAATTTGCAGCCAGAACAAACAACCATGTGAGCTGGAGCTGATTATATGCCGCCAATGTTTATTGTACCCACAGGCTAAGCAAAGCACAGGACACGCGCCGAGTTCTAGACATTGTTTGGGTTCGACTATTTTCATCATTGCAGCGGTTGGACATGAGTCACTACCTGAGTGCTTGTCGAGCTATTGATTATCACGAGCCAAAACTCAGTGCTCGCACAATGTTTGGGTCCAATCTATGAGCCGTCTTCAAATACTGTCACTGGGGAACTATGTCAGCACTGAGATGTCCAAACTATGTCATCAAGCTTTGCAAAAGGGAGATGAAAGAAAACGCACGCTTTCATTCCTGGAACTGCACTGTAACAAAGAGGTTTGTTGGTCAATGGCGGCATCTGCGAGTATACTTGGGTCCCACTAGTGAGCTCGTGTAAAGGGAAAAATGCATTCCAACTAAATATCGTTGCACCGTCCCTTTAAAGAAAAACCTGAAAAGAAAAAAAAAAAAATTGTAAACAGTCTGGTTGGGACACTCGTGCCAAAAATTAATTTTATGCAAAAAAAAATTTAGAGCAATAATGACGGCGCGAGAATTATTTTAAATTCTGCGTGCAAAGTCCATGATGTCACGGAATGGTTGGTTGGTTGGGGTTTTATGGCGCAAAAGCATCTTAGGCTATGATGCGCCAGGTACATACACTATTGCAGATAGGGTTTCGAAGAGGATAGAACTTTAGTAGTTGATGATAGGTTAAAACTATGTGTATGACTTGTAAGTAGTTATGGCATGAAGTTGGGTGTAAAATCATAGTCGGTGTAAAAGGCCGATAGCTTTCAAGAAGCTAAAAACGCAGTGATGCGGAACTAATGGTTCGTTGCCAAGCAAAATAGGGAGGTTTAAAGGCGTATGCTCTTTATATAGCTGAGAAAAATGTTTCCGTCGGTCTAGGTCATAAGCAGGGCATGCTAGTAATATGTGTGCGACAGTTAAAGGATTACTGCAGTGCTCGCACTCTGGGGCTTCCTCCCTGCGCAGAATGTGGCCATGGGTGAGGTATGTATGCCCTATCCTTAGCCGACACAGGACAACCTCATAAAAGCGTTCAAGGTGTCTTGCACTCTCCCACTCACTAAGCAGTGGCTTTACAGTATGCAGCTTGTTATTTACTTCTTCATCCCATTCTTGCTGCCACTTCTCTCTTATACGATGCCTTAAAAGTCTGTGATAGTCTTTATATGGAATGTCGTGCCGTTCGACTTCTTTGTCACCAGCAGAACTAGCTGCAAGGTCTGCTTCCTCATTACCCGGTATACCAACATGGCTAGGGACCCAGCAAAAGACTATTTTAATGTTCCTTTTGGAAGCATCGATGATTTTATTCTGCAACTCTATGATTATTGGGTGTTTGGAGGTATTTAGTGATTAGAGCGCTCTCAGTGAACTGAGTGAATCAGTATACACAACTGACTTCATGCTCTTCGTTTCTATAATATGATTAACTGCCAGGCGGATACCACATTGTTCAGCTGTTAAAATAGTGACTGTATATGCAATTCGTTGAACATAGCGAACAGAGGGGCCAAACACAGCACATCCAACGAACGTTTCTGTCTTGGTGCCATCTGTGTAATACGAGCTGTGACCAGCGTATCTACTTTGGATTTCATATAATTCCTGTCTGATGCATTCTGGTGGGGTGTCTTTCTTTCTGTACTTAGTCAGTAAAGTCACACAAAATGAGGCTATCTTCCCACGGAGCTAATACTTGAGGTACGGCGGTCACGGGCATTGTAGTGCTCAGTCCAACCGAATCTGCTGCAGCTGCATTTCTCGTACTAAAAGGCGGGATTACAGAGGGCTTGTTGTCAAAGGTGCGCTTATATCTTGTTTCTTCCACAACCTCGCGTGCAGGATGCAGGGTGAATGAACGTATTCTAAGGGAATACATAAACCCCCAAGCAAACCTTCGCTTTTTCAGAGACCATTCATTTGTCTCTGCATAGAGGCTGGGGATAGGCGACGTGCGAAATGCACCTGTAGACAGTCGCAATCCCTGGTGATGAATGGGGTCAAGCATTCAAAGAGCTGAGGGCTTTGCCGATCCATATACACAACTACCATTGTCGAGGCGTGAGCGAACCACCGAACTGTAAATTCGTAGAAGACAGAGACGATCAGAGCCCCATGAGGTATGAGAAAGGACTTTAAGAATGTTTAGCGCTTTCTGGCATTTTACCTTAAGATACCTAATATGAGAAAGAAAGGACAGTTTACTATCAAAAATAAGCTTTAGGAACCTCTGCTCCGGTTTTGTTGGAATTGGAGTGGAGTGGATGGTCATTGATGGATCTACTGTAGCTCCCCGTAAGCGAGAAAAGCAAACAGAAATTGTTTTTTCTGGTGAAAACCTAAAGCCAACTTGATCAGCCCACTTGAGCGGATTGTTTACTGCTAATTGGATCCTACGTTCACAGAAAGCAATGTTACAGGATGAGACGGATATCTGAAGATCATCAACATGAAGTGAATACTGTACGGATGATGAGATGGCCCGGGCTATCGAGTTTTTTTTTTTATTACAAAAAAGGGTGACACTCAATACGCCTCCCTGGGGAACACTGTTTTCCTGGCAGAACTCTCGAGAGTAAGTAGTGCCTAATTTGACACGAAAAGTATGTATCGCCAAATAGCTCTTTACGAATGCTAGCATCCTGCCTCGAATGCCATAGCTATACATATCTTGTAGGATGCCATGCCGCCAGGCAGTGTCGTAAGCCTTTTCTAAATCGAAAAAAAAAACAGAGAGGCAGTACTGTTTATTTACAAAGGCCTCACGAATGGTAGACTCCAAGCGGACAAGATGGTCCAATGTAGATCGTGACGAACAGAAGCCACACTGATATTTATCAAGAATATTCTAAAAAGTACATGAGTCGCTTCTTAAGCATTCTCTCCAGAGTTTTGCTAAGACAGCTTGTTAGCGCTATTGGGCGGTAACGATGCATCCTTTCCAGGCTTTAGGAAAGGAATGACGGTTGCCACTCTCCAAGACGATGGAAATGTACTCTTCTGCCAGATGCGACTAAACAAATACAAAATTATGTAGAGTGTGGAAGGGTGAAGGTGAGTAAGCATATGGTAGTGAATTTCATCTGGTCCAGCAGACGTAGGTTTAGTTTCATGAAGTACCCGTTCCAGTTCATTCAGTGTGAGAGGTAAGTTGTATGCCTCTCGAGCTCCGCCGGATGTCCGCACGGATTGGAGTTCTGCTTGTCTCTTGTGTTTCAGAAAAGCAGATGAACAATTCTGAGAGCTAGAAACACGTTCAAAGTGTTTCCCAAGGAGATCTGCCTGTTCTTCTAGGCTCTCAGGGCACAGTCCGTTTTCGGAAAGAAGCGGTACTGAGTAAGCCCGGTAATGCCCATTGACTTTATGTACTCTATCCCATACTCCCTTGGTGGTGGCAGTGCTGTTAATAGAGGAAGCATAACCTTGGAAACTTTGACGCTGTGAGACGTGGCGGATGTATCTCGCATGAACCTTCATCCGCTTCAAACTGCTGAGATTAATCACTGTTGGGTAACGTCTACATATGCCCCATGCTCTGTTCTGCTTTTTTCTTGATTTTTCACAGTCGGCATTCCACCATGGTTTAGAACGGCGGGGTAAGCGAGATGAAGTCATAGGGATAGCTAAAATTGCAGCATTGAGAATGTGGGCGCTAAGCAAATTGGTGACTTCATCGATAGACAGTTTGTTAAGCGATGTACAAGCGAGCTGGGTTGCTTGGCTGAAGACAGACCAGTTTGCTTCCTCAAACCTCCAACGGGGAGTTCGTGTAGGCACTGTAATGGGTGGATTTAGTCGGTTCAGAATGATAGGAAAGTGATCGCTCCCAGAATACAGCCCAGGGAAACAAAGGAAATAATGCTGGATCGCAAAGAGACAGATCAATAGATGTGAAAGAATGAGTTGGGGCACTGAAATACGTAGACTCTGCTTTGTTCAGCAAGCATATAAAGGCCCGTTCACACTCTTGCGACTGCTTGCGACCTCTTAAACCTGGGTTCCTTAAAACTTCTTAAACCAGAGAACACACTGGCGCCATCTATTGGGCAGCAGTGTAAACTCGGCGGTCCGGCATATTTTTTTTTATTTCTCGCGCAATATCCTTTCTTTTTTGGCTCGAAAAGCTTTTGTCAATGTTATAAACGAGCCTTTTTATGGGTATTACGCACATTTGACCTCGGAAATCCCGCAAAACCTTCGCTTTTGTGAAATGCAGTTCTAGGGTCACCGCATAGATGGCGCCACAATGTCAGTGTGTTCCCTCATTCTAGAAACATTTAAGAAGTTGTAAGAGATCTCGTCTCTCTCAGTCGTCCTCGGTCGCAAGAGTGTGAACGGGCCTTAACTGTCGAGGAAAGAAAACGCTCTATCATCGAGCCACGTGTATCTCGTCTTCTACTACTCCGAAGAGGATTATGAGCATTGAAGTCACCGAGAATTAGGGCAGGTTGGGGTAATTGGTCGTGAAGTGATTCAAGCTCTTTGCGGGATACAGGATAACTTAGAGGAATGTAAAGCGAACAGACGGTTATTACACGCTCCAACAG